AGCCGGGGGTCTTTGCTGGGAGAAAGGCTCACGCTCTGTGCGTGCCGCCACTCGAGTGCTTCGCGCCCGTGGGCAGCGCTCCGGCCACCTCGCTGCAGCCGTGTTCCCATCCCCTCCCCGATGGACCGGGCAGCGCGAGAGCTGGCTCCGCCGCCCGGCTTTTCCCCTAAATCTTGTAGATAGAGATAAAAAAAAAAAAAAAAGGTACCTCCTCCAAGTCCCTCCTTCAGCCGGAGCCGCCGCAGGCTTTTACCAGGAGCAAGGGGAGAGGGCCCTCATTTTATCCTTTTCTCATATTTAGTGGCTCCCTTTGACGGAAACGTAATTTGTATAATTAGCCGAGCGCACACGGGCGACTGATGGGCTGTGGAGTGTGCAGCTCTCGACGCTAATTGCTCTCAGGAAAGGATTCAGGGCGGCTTAAGGCGAGAAATTTGCTTTCTAGCGTTAGGATGGGCAGCTTTCCCTTCAGCTTAAATCACTGTGCGATAAGGGAGTATGCAGTCTTGCAAAAGTCCCTTTTCCAGCGGGGAGAGAGCATCGCTGCCCCTCGGCTCGCCCGTGGGGACCTACAGGGGTTAGATCCTGCCAACACGCCCAGGCTGCAGTGGCACGGCACGGCGACCAAATGCGAGCGCCCAGGATCGGGCCCCTCAAAAATCCCTCTTTCCTCACTCGCTCTCTGCAAGCAAATTTGCCTTTCCTTTTTTCCCCCTCTTATTAATAGAAGAAGGGGTAATTTGGAAACGTTGGTCGTGGTCGAAATAATTTTATTTTATTCAGAATATACAGTTTAATTCCTCTATCTACAATTATTTACAGGGTTAAAATAACATTGAAAAAAAGTCTCTGGAAAAGTTGAGGTCATAGTTTTCAAGGCACCATTGATAGTGTCCACAGCTGAGCCAAAAAATGTCCGTATTGTATAAAAAAGGGTTTCCTTTGAAATGCAATAAGTTACATGCACAAGCTTTACACATTTTAATCTTTTTGTTTGTTTCCTTTCCCTTTTAAAAATCCCCCATATGCATTCCTTTCGTTATTATTCCTTAACAGTAAAACACAGGAGTCCAAGGAACAACCAAAAAAAGAACAAAAAACCCAAACAAACAAACAAAAAAAAGGGTCAGACTCTAATAAATTGTCCCAGAGGCCAGCGCTAACGGGTGCTGTAGGGAGCCGTGGGGTTGGAGGTGGGAGCTGATGGAGCTGGCAGCGGGGTACCAGGAAGTGGAGCTCTCCAGGTAGCTGGATGCAGGGGACGGGTTGGAGTTTGGAGGGTGAGCGTGTGCGTGGGGATGGTGGCTGAGAGAGCGGGACGAGCCCTGAGGTTCCCAAACCGCAGGCGACTGTGGAGAGTTGCAGGCCATGGGGTCGCTGGAGCTGGGGCTGTGCTCCGGAGGCATCTCCCCGTTCTTCATGATCTTCTTGATCTTGGATCTTTTATTCTGAAACCAAATTTTCACCTGGGAGGGGGCGGGAGGAGAGGAGAGGGGAGGAAAGAGGGAAGGGAGGAGGGAAACCGACACCGTTAATGCCCGCCTGGCAAATCGGCGCTCCGCGGCAGAGAGAGACCCGCTCCCCGCCGCCCCCTT